GGCTCCCCCGGCGGGAGCGGTATCCTGCAGAGCTGCGGCTGTGGCAGGTGAGACCCACGCGACCCCTGACTTTGGGAGCACACACCCGCGGGCAGCCTGGGGATGAAAAAGTTTCCTGCCTCAGTGTTCAGCGGTGTCACGCTGGTTCTGACAATCAAGCCCCTGTCTTCCGGAGACGTGACTCTATTAAGTACTGGCAGGACCATTTATTTTTCTCTCGCCCCCAGAGCCACCTCATAGGACCTGCTGCCCCACCAAGAGCATCCCACACCTGGGAGGAACCGCGTCGCAGCACCAGCTAGTGGAGCCAGTTCGACCGCCTCAGGTGTCCTCCCAAACCTCCGTGGATTGTTTTTCTCCTTCCCGTCCTGCTGCCTCGCTTCTCCCCAGACTGGATCCCTGCCTACCCAAAAGCAATCCGTCTCCATCCCCAGCCTCGACCGCACACTGTGTCTTTCGCTCTAAAGCTGACTGCTCGACCGGGGCAGAGGGGAGAACAGCTGGTCTGACAAATCACCCTGTCTACAACGTCGTCTAGAGCTCTCCAAAACATTCTCAGATGCCCCTATCGCTTACAGCATTGAAAGTTACAGAGCTGTTTTCTTCACGTAAAAATTGCTAGGAGAAAACGTTATTACTAAGAGCGTCCAAGATACCGGAAAAGGAGAGTGAACTACAAGGAGAAAAATTCAAATAAAGTGCAAAGTAAAAACAAATTCAGGAACCCAAAGAGAAGACTGGGCCAAGCATCCCCGGCTTCCTGGAGCAAGTTGGTTTCCATAGGGAATTTCTCCTGAAGAGAAAAGAAAATGCATAAATTAGTTCGGAGAATCTTTCTACAATGCATCTGTGGAGTTTCCTAAAGGACTGGAGGAGTTCCTCCAGACAAGAACCTTTCCTTTGGGAGCTTCTGCTACAACTAGAAGATAAAATGGCAGGGACCGTCCTTGTCACCCTTCCAGCCTACAGCTGGGCAGCTTCCCTAGGCTGCTGCATACCTGCTGGCTACTTACTTAGCTCACAGTGTGGAGCTGCCTCCGTCTTAACCTGCTTCTTCCCCATGGTGCAGAACTAGTTTGGCTTTTCCCAGTGCCAGCTCCTGCCTTTATATAAGATGACGAGAGTGCCTCCCTCGCTTAGATAAGGGCGCTTTTAGCCTGCTCTAAGCAACACACATTGGTCAAGACTGGCAGGGAATTTCAAGAGGCAAACCACACCCTTCAGAGCATAATCAAATCTCATCTTTGACCCGCCATGAAAAGGGAAGCATATATATCTGCCACTCCTATATATTAATGAACAATTTATTAAGTTCAAAAACTTTTATTCTGAATCTTCATCTCTCCCATTTGGCAGGAGCTGGAGCTGCAGGCGTGCCTGTGAGTGCCGGCTGATGAAAGGGGTGGAATTAGAGGAATTGCTTCCCTTGGCGGCTCCCCTGGGGTGAACCTGGTTCGGGCTCTTGTACCAGGGCTGCAAGTGCACCGGGATTCTGCTCCTGAGAGGCGAGGTGAAACCAATTAACCCCAAGCCTGACCGTCCACATGCATTTTCCACATAGGTACGTGCAGCACTGATGCAATTATGTGGAGCGTGGGTGAAAAGGCCGCCCGTTTATCCCTTGGGATCTGAAGAGCCGGCTGGCATAGCCTGGTCAATCAGTGATCCGCGACAGACAACCGGGCCACGCACACTCAGGACTTGGTGCCTGGTGGAAAATAAAAAGAAAGGGAAAAAAACCCTGAGCCTGCAAGAAAGAAATCCAGGGCAAGCCCAGAACTTCCAATCTAGGAGGAAGGGAGAGGAAGGAATGAGAACAATTTGCCTCAGGGAAATAATTTAGACGACAAAACTGGAAAAAAAGAGGCATTAAAGTGGGATGAAATACTAGAGAGAAGAAGACAATTGCTGCTTTCGGGTAGCAGGCAGTTTTCTAGTTGTTTAAAAGAAAATCTGCTTTGTACCATAAAAAACATAATACCTTAGAATGGAAAAGAAAGAAAAGCAGCAATCAATTCAAATTAGTCAAGGTCAGTTTCCAGCAAGTGGCTCTGGTCCCTACACAAAACCACCACTGAGTCTCTAGAAAAAACTATAGATCGTCTGCCTAGGACCCCAGATGAAGGTGTCTGCGTTGGGGCTCTCTCAGGCATGAAAAGTCACTTCATTATGACTGTCCTAGTTCTACATTAGATTCCACACAAATTCCCTAAGGCAGAGATGCCTCTGCAGATTGGGCTGGGGGCCAGGTTTTACCCCTTCAAGGGAAAGTACAATCACCTGTAAAATTATGCAAGAACCAAAGTCCAGGAGGAAAAAGGCCTATTTGAATTTAAGAATTCTTTTTTTTAGCCGGGGCGCCAAGACTCACGTCTGTATTCCCACTTTGGGAGGTGGAGGTGAGAGGATTACTTGAACCCAGGGGTTTGAGACTAGCCTGGGCAACATGATGAGACCTTGTTTCTATAATAAATAAATAAATAAATCACCGGGGCATGTCATGTCTGTGGTTCCAGCTACTTGGAAGGCTGAGGCAGAAGGGTCACTTGAGCCCAGCAGGTCAAGGCTACGGTGGTTGTGAGCTGCCACTGCACTCCAGCCTGGGGCAACAGAGTGAGAGTCCAACTCAAAAAACAAAAAAAAGAATTCTTTCTTTTCTTTCTAGGTTAGTCAATGAAGCAGTGGGGGTCCAGAAGGAACAAAAAACCCCCCTGTGACTGGTTGTGATCAATTAGTTGTAAATGCCACTGCATTCAGACCCCCATGAGTTTAAGAATTCTAAAAATAGGAATGGATTTTGCAGTCACACTCTACCACTAGCATTCCAGTTCTGCATTCTGCCTGCTACCCAAGCACTTCTTCTCTACCCAAGCACTTTAACTCATCCTGTATATACAGTCATTGCCTCTTAACAGCAGACAAATGTATCAGGTAACTTCATCCTTGTGTGAACCTCAAGGAATATACTCACACAAACCTACATGGTGTGGTCTATGACATGCCCAGGCTGTAAGGTGTAACCTGGTGCTCCTAGGCTACAAACCTGTACAGCCTGTTACCAGGTTACACCTTACAGCCTGGGCATATAGTGCCTGAATACTGTAGGCAATTGTAACACAGTGGTAGGTATTTGTGTATCTAAACATAGAAAAGGTATGGAAAATCATGGTATAAAAGATTAAAAATAGTCTGGGCATGAGCAACTTGGCAAAACCTTGTCTCTACGATAAATCTAAAAAATTAGTCAGGCATAGTAGCGCATGCATGTGGTTCCAGCTACTTGTAAGGCTGTGACAAAAGAATTGCCTGAGCAGAGCAGGTCAAGGCTGTGGTGGCCATGAATGTTCCATTGCACTCCAGCCTGGGTGACAGAGTGAGACTCTGACTACAAAAAAAAAAAAAAAAAAGATTGATACTTATAAAAAGTACAATCCCATTCACAATAGCCACTAAAAAAAAAAAAGAGAGAGAGAGAGAGAGAAATACCTTAGCATCTTCCTAACCAGAGAAATGAAAGACGTTTACAACAAAAATTACAAAACTCTGGTCAAAGAAATCAAAGATGACACAAATGAAAAAATATTCCATGCTCATGGATTGGAAGAATCAACATTGCTAAGATATCCATCCTACCCAAGACAGTCTACAGATTTAACGCAATACTCATCAAATTACCTGCACCATTCTTCTCAGACCTGGAAACAACAATACAGAAATTCATATGGAAACATAAACTATGAACAGCCAAAACAATTCAGCAAAAGAAACAAAGTGGGAGGTATCACACTTCCAGACTTCAAACTTTATTATAAGGCTACAATAATCAAAACAGCCTGGTATTGGTACAAGAATAGGCATATAGACCAATGGAATAGGATAGAGATTCAGGAAGCAAAAGCTTAGTTTCTCAATCTTCAACAATCTTCAACAAAGCCTCCACTAACAACCACTGAGGAGAGGTGAACTTATTCAGTAAATGGTGCGGGAAAAACTGGCTGCCCACATGCAGAAGATTAAAACAAGACCCCTACCTATCACCATACACAAAAATCAACTCTAAATGAATCAAAGGCCTAAATGTAAAACCTCAAACTATAAGGACCTTAGGAAATGCAGGAGACACCCTCATGGAAATTGGAACTGGCAGCCAATTCCTGGTCAAAACCCCAAGTGCCCATGCCATAATAGATAAGATAGACGAGTGGGACCTCATCAAACTGAAAAACTTCTGCAAAACAAAAGAAACCATCATGAGAGGGGGGGGAGACAGACCACAGAATGGGAAAAAGTATTTGCCAACTGTATATCTAACAGAGGCCTAACATTCAGGATCTACAAGGAACTCAAATGTGCTGAAAAGAAAAAAAAAACAGCCCTATTACAAAGTAGGCAAAAGATATGAATAGACACTTCTCAAAAGAAGATATACAAGCAGACAACAGATACATGAAAAAATGCTCAACCTCACTAATCATCAAAGAAATGCAAATTAAAACCACACTGTGATTCTACCTAAATCCTGTCAGGATGGCCATCATCAATAACTCAGAAAACAACAGATGCTGGAGAGGATGGAGGGAAAAGAGAACACTTCTACACTGTTGGTGAGAGTGTGAACTAATACAGCCTCTGTGGAAAACAGTTTGGCGATTCCTAAAAGATTTAAAATCAACCATCCATAAGACCCCACGATCCCCCTTCTGGAAATAAACCTAGAGGAATTCAAATCACTCTATGAAAAAGATACCTGCACATGCATGTTTATTGCAGTATTATTCACAATAGGAAAAACAT